CCTTTCTTTCTCTCATCTTTCTCTTTCTCTCTCTCTCTCTCTCTTTCTTTCTTTCGCTTTGGAGAATAGCTTGACCCCCTTCTCTCTGTAGCAGCCCCTCCCTCAAATATTGGAAGTCTGCTATCCTGTCTCCCCTGGTCTTTCTCTTCCCTAGACTAGCCAGGCCCCGTTCCTGCAACCGTTCTTCGCAGTCACCTCATCATCCTGGTTGCTCTTCTATGTACTTTTTCCAGAGTTCCAACATCTTTTTTGTAGTGTGGTGACCAAAACTGGATGCAGTACTCTAGGTGTGGCCTTACTAAGGCTTTATAAAATGAATTTGCTTGGTTCTTCTCAAAGATTTCCTGTTCTGGTTGATAAGGTTGTTCAGGAAGTTGTTCCTTGATAAACTTTTCTCAAACTTTTCTGACTCACTCTGGGAATTGGCTGTGCTTTTGCAGAGCTGTTTGTGAGTTAGATGGCGCTGCACGGCCACAAAAAAAATTTTTTTTTTTTTCCAAATGAACAGGCACAAAATCTTTTGAGCTTTCCATGCTGCAACATTCCTGCAATTTTTTTTTTTTTACTGGTCTAAGCTGAGAGATGGCAGGGATCGCTTGACTTCCTCCAGCCTCTCAGCGTCTTATTATCCTCAACTCCATTACTGTTTTCCAAATCTGCTGGGCACAAATACAATGCTAGAATAATTACATCTGTAATATAAATAATACCAATGTTTAATACATTTTTTTTTGGGTAATACAAATCTGGGCACAGATACAGTAAAACACCTGGAATGCTTCATTCATTGTTTTTCTATCTCTGTCTAATCTTGTTTCTCTCACTTTCTCTTTTTCTTTCTCTCTCTGTTTCTCCTTCTGTCTTCATTTCTTTCTCTCACTCACTTTTTCTCTCTTTCTCTGTCTCACTCTTTCTGTTTCTCCTTCTGTTTCTTTCTGTCTCTGACTCTTTCTTTCTCTGTCCCTCTTTCATTCTTTCTCTTTCTTTTTTGTTTCTCTCTTTCATTCTCTCTCTCTCTCTCTCTCTCTCTCTCTCTCTCTCTCTTCTGCTACCTTCCATCATCAAAATGATCCCAGGGAATTAAATGGTGAGATTCGTTTCCTTTGCATTGATGTACTTTGCTCCCGCTATTTACTTTAGCACACAAGCATGTGACTCTGCACACCAAGACACTGGCACACTTTTCTCTTTGTTTCTTTTTTACTTTATGAAGGAATGTAAGAAGTTACACAACGGCAGCTCCCTGCCCCAAAGAGCTCACAATATAACAAAAGATGTCGCAAAGACTTATTCATTGACGCTGGACCTGTTCACCTAAAACGAGATTGAATAGTTTGTGATTTGACAATTGTGAGAATACTCTTAAGAAACAAAATATAGACGATGCAAAGGCTCCAATTAGATCTTCAGTTTTTTTTTTTTGGTAAAGACACCTCCTAAAGAAACGGACCAAAACTTGAAAATACAAAAAAACAGAATTATTTTTTTTAAATGTGGAATGTGTGTACTCCTCTTGTGAGTTTGCACAAAAGCCAAACTGAAATATTTATCCTTCTCATTCATTGTTTCTCGGACTTGGCAACTTTAAGACAGGTGAACTTCAACTCCCAGAATTCCCCAGCTATGCTGGCTGCGGAATTCTGGGAGTTGAAGTCCATACTCTTAAAGCTGCCAAGTTTGAAAACAACTATTCTAATTCAAATGAGTGAGAAATAAAAGGAAATTAACAGCGTGCTTGGAAGATCTGCATACCGCAATTACAAAAAAAATGTAGAAAAGCACTGCAACTCAACAACAACAATACACACACACACATTTTGCATCAAGGCCACTGGCCACAAGAAGCACAACGCTGACAACTGAAAGGAAGAAATTGTATGTGCAAGATCTCAAAAGTAAGGAATAGGAAACAGGGCGTAATAATAATGATTTGTGTTAAACTCTGGTGTCCTGAGTCATACATTGATGAGATAAATCTCACCCCTGACCCACAAAGGGGGAAAGAAATCTTCTACCAATCAGGGCAATTGACAGAAATGAATATTTCTAGCTCAGGATAGAACTGTAGAGGCTTTGATGCTCTCTGAGTGGTGGGTTTCTTGCAGACATTTCACAACCCAACTAGGTAACATCATCAGTGCGGTCAGTTGCTTTCCTTAAAAAGCCTCTTCCTGGCTCTAGCATCCACTTTGCAGGCTGCTAGGGTTGTAGGAACGAGTTTCCAACTGGTGTGACTGCCCTCTAGGCTGAAATGAAAAATAGCTGCCATTTCACTGCCCAAAATACAACCAATTTATATTTTGTTTAAGGGATGCCATTCATTAAATACCATTTATCAGGTCAGTTTTTTTCTTCTTTCTGTCCTTCCACACCCTGAATCCCAAACCTGCATTCAAAGGATGGCGTTTTGCAGACAATGTTGTTTTTGGAAACCACTTGAACCCGGTGCCGAGTCCACCAAGGGCCCTGCGTGACTGTACTGGATTCATGCATGATGATCTGAGCCGCCAAGATCTGAGCTTGTGCCGTTTATTTTCAGACATGTTCTGTTTATTTTCTGCATTTCCAAATCCAGGAGGCTCAGGAAGGTGAAGGTAAAACACAAAGCACCCAACAAATATTTAACGTACGCATTAATTATGGCATGGGTAGTCCTCAAGTTACGGCCACCAATTGAGCCCAAAATTGCCGTTTGCCAAACGAGACAGTCGTTCAGTGAATTTTCGCCCTATTGTACAACTTTTCTCACCAGAGTCGTTCAGTGAATCCCTGCAAGTTCTTAAGTGAGTCACACGGTTGTTAAGTGAATCTGGCTTTCCCCCCGTTGAGTTGGCTTGTCAGGAGGTCCCAAAAAGAGATCGCATGACTCCCAGGGACACTGCAACCCATCGTAAATACGAACCAGTTGGCAAGCATCCACATTTTGATCCTACGACCCACGGGGACGCTGCAAACGTACATAAGTGTGAAAAATGGTCCCGCAAGTCCCTTTTCCCAGTGCCGTTGTAACTTTGAACGGTCACTAAATAAGTCAAGGACTCCCTGTAGACGCTAAAACCTCAACGCACAATTTCTTGGAATCGGGAGAGAGATCCAGAGGAGAGAAAAAAAGGCGGGCAGGATTGAAGGGGATTAATTCCCAACTCTGCTTCCAAGTCCGGTTTTCAAACTTAAGTGCATAAATAGCATTCTGCTGAGTCAAAATCCTTTTACGGCGGGATGCTGGATCTACCCTGGGAAGGTATCCCAAGGATGCATAGAGGACGGAGAACGGTTGTGCAAAAGGGAGCTGCATATTTTTGGATCCTAGAAGCTGCCCCCCAAATGCCTTCTCAAGGGCTCCCCCATAGCTCAAGTCTGCAGCTTTTGAATGGCTGCGATTTCTTCTTAGCTGGGTGGTGGTCCCTTTTAGATCCTGTGTAGTTGATCCCAACTTCCACAAAAGGGTTTTAAAATCCACAAATCTCCCAGCTCGCATGGGGTCGGACACTCGTAAAGCCCACTGGCTAGGGGTGGGATTCTACCAGTTCGCACCTACTCGCTAGAACCGGTTGTTAACATTCTAAGCAGTTCGGAGAACCAGTTATTAGAAGAAATTACTGGGCTAATCCTGTAAGGAAGGCAGGAAGGAAACATTCTGGTGTTGCTTACAGAAACTGCCTCTCCGTTAACCCTTATTAACATTCTGGGCAAGACTAGACTTCCTGTCTCAGGAACTTCTCTGGAGTTTTTTCTCCCTCCTTTGCTGGTACTTTGCTTGTGTGGAGGGACCCTTCAAAGTTACAATGGCACTGAAAAAAGGGACTTATGACCGTTTTTCACACTTACGACTGTTGCAGCATCCCCACAGTCATGAGAGGTCAGGCGAGGAGATGCGTGCCTCGGGGTGAGTGATATTGAGTTAGCCACGCCCACCAACTAAGCCACGCCCACAGAACCGGTTGTTAAAATATTTGAATCCCGCTCCTGCCCCTCTGGAGTCTTTCCATACATTGATGCCCAAATCTTTAGTCAATCCACAGAACAACGGATGGAAACTAATCAAGGAGAGACCCAACATAGAACTAAGGAGAAATTTCTTGATGGTGAGAACAATTAACCCGTGGAACAACTTGCCACCAGAAGTCATGGGTGCTCCAACATTGTGAGTTTTTAAGAAAAGACTGAACAGCCATTTGTCTGACATGCCATAAGGTATCCTGCTTAAGCAGGGGGTTGGACTAGAAGACTTCCAAGGTCCCTTCCGACTCTGTTTATTCCACCATAAAATGCGTCACGGCAGGTCCTTACCTGTACATTTATTAAATTAAAAATGGTGCCGTTGGCACATTTGTCATTTACCAGAATGCCAATAGTTAAGTTTATTCCTGCAGTAAAAGCACTATATTTCTTTTTTTTAAGTCTGCACCTACAAAGGGAGCGATTGGGAAATCCTCTGCCCCTTTTGATTACAAATATTAGCTTGGGATCTTTCCTGTGGTTGATAAAAGCAGGCCTTGCGATTCCTGCTTCGAATGTTTCTGCTTGGTCCCCCTTCTGCACCCAATGGGGGGAAATCCGGAAATCTCCTGAGCCCATTGGTCCAATCCATCCCCGTCTCCAACCGATGGAGAGTTATGGCAGCCCAAACCAACAGATGAGAGGGAAGGATGGCCAGGAAAGTATTTACACCGTCGCGTTCGTCGTCTCCGCGAGAAGGGCCCTTCTCAAGGATTGGCATGGCCTCCAGAGCTGGCGCTACAGCTCACCGTGGGCCCTTTCCTTCCACCGGTTGGGGTGCCAAGAGCAGAATAAGCGGGGGTGTGTGTGATGCCAATGGAGAAGAACCCCATCTTCTTCTTCCGGAGGACTCCCGCTACGTCCGTCATCACGAATCGTGCCTCCACTTGGAGCTGACCTTGTCCAGCAAGTGCCGCGTGCTTTCCCGAAACTTCCGCTGGGTGAAGTAGAAGAGAATGGGATCCAGGACGCTGTTCATGCTGGCGAATGGCCGGGTGCATTTGTAGGCGATGGCGAAGGCCTGGCGGGTGAGGCAGTGCACCTCCGGGAAGGAGCGGACGATCAGGTAGAGGGTCTTGGTCAGGTGGAAGGGGAAGAAGCTGACGGCGAAGACGAGGACCACGATGACAATCATCCGGATGGCCTTGTCTTTCTTCTTGCGGACGGCCAGCCCGATCATCTCGTCCTTCTGGCACAGGATTTTGGTCATGCTACAGTAACACCCCAAGATGGAGAGGAAAGGGATCAGGAAGCCCGTCACCGTCAGGGCGATGCCATAAGGGAAGTAGCCGGCTGAGTTTTCCGGCGTGCTCAAGTCGTAGCACACGGTCCGGTTCCTCTGGGTGCCCGTGGAGGCGTAGAGGAAAGTTGGCACGCATTGCGCCGTCACCACGACCCAAACCAGGGCGCACACCCCCCAGGTGAAGCGCTTGCCCCTTTTCTTGTGCCAGGTGGAGAGCGGGTGGCAGATGCCCAAGTAGCGCTGGACGCTGATGCAGGTGAGGAAGAGGATGCTGCCGTGGAGGTTGGTGTAGAACTGGAAGCGGACGAAGCGGCAGGTAAAATCGCCGAAGGGCCAGTAATCCTTCTGGGAATAGTTGTAGATCAGCAACGGGAGAGAGCAGACGTAAAGGAGGTCGGCCACCGCCAGGTTCAGCATGTAGATCATGGTTCGAGTCAGGACCTTCCGGGACAGCCAGATCTGGACAATGACCACGAAGTTCAAAGGGAACCCCAGCCCCAGGACGACGGAGTAGACCACCGGCAGCAGGATCTGCTTGAACTCTTCATGGTAGGTGCAGGAATCCTTGACGGCAGCCAGCGACGTGTGGTTGTCCATCCCAGGACCTCAGGAGGCGTCCGGCTCCACCACGAGTCACTCACGCAATGCAGGAAACCTGGAGTTAAGGACAAAGGGTGGTTAGACGTGTTTCTTCCCTTGGCTTGCTTACTTTTTTTTCTTTTCTTTTTTTTTTAAATTAGTTTGTAATGGAAAATGCAAAAAAATGCAAAAGAAGATTGGAGGAAAAGGAGGGAGGGGAAAAGTGTAGGGCAAAAGGAAAAGAAGAAAGAAAAAGCACTGGCTTCCAACTTCCCTTTGGCGCCGTAGAGTAAGATAAGAGCATCAAATCTCAGGTTTTAACTTTTACGGAATAATTAGAATAGAATGCAATGGAATAAGAATAGAATAGAATAGAATTAGAATAGAACAGTATAGAATAGAATAGAGAATAGAATAGAATAGAATAGAATAGAATAGAATAGAATAGAATAGAATAGAATAGAATAGAATAGAATAGAATAGAATAACCCTTGGTTGAGACCCTAGTTAGCTAAACTTGGCAACCTTAAAACTTGTGGACTTCAACTCCCAGAATTCCTCAGGCAGCCCATAGCTGTAAACTTTTTTTTATATCAATGAACATCAGAAATTGTGGCTTGTTATGATCTCTGTTGGCCAGGAGATGGCAGTTTCGCCCCAGTCAGGAGAAAGAGTGGGGTAGGGAGGGAGGGAAAAGGATGGAAGGAGGGAAAGGAGATAAAGAAGGGAGGAAAAAGGGAAGGAAGGAAGAGTGGAAGAAGGGAAATAAGTAAATAGAAGAAGGGAGGGACGGAGGAGCGATCGGGAACAAGGAAGAAAGCAAAGATGGTAACAGATGAGGGAGGGAGGGAAAGGAAAGGAAAGTGCAAGTGGAAGGAAGGAAGGAAGGAAGGAAGGAAGGAAGGAAGGAAGGAAGGA